AAAGAGTTGCTTCCAATACAATTTTAACATTTTGAGTTATATTCACAATCCAATTTGCATTGCCTCAATTGAATATATATATATATATATATATGTGAGTTGTGATAAAAATACTGAAAGATGCAATATTGATTTTTACATGAAATATGCACAATACATAGTTGTGGCATCGCAACGCCACTCCCATGGTGCCGAGGCTCCACCTGCTTACCTAAGGAGCGGATTTTGGCATTTTTAAATCCCATGAAAATTCTAAATTAGGAAAAAAAAAACATGGAAGCAATTATAATATATAAGAAATGAGGAATTGAGAGGGCTTCCACACATTGAGATACACAAAAATACAACTTGAAATTGAGAGAGCAAAATTAAATAAGAAATACAAGAAATCAAGGGCTATGATTTGGAATCAAGATCAGAGGTAAGAAGAGGAAATTGGTGCAAGATTCATCTGCTTCTCCACATATCCATTCAAAACCCAATGACGTACTTCATTATTGTTACTTATTTTTCTTCATTTATCATGAGTGGCTAAATTTTTCATTAGGACGAACAATGTAACAAATTGAGACCCTTTATTCCTTTTATTCAAAATTATAGTTCTTTTATAATTTTTGTGTTTTTTTTAATTAATTATTTAATGCTTTAAATTACTTGGTCATTAATTCAATAATTTTCTAAAATTATTATGAATCAAGAGGAGAAATTTAGATTTAGACCACATATTAAAATTCGATAATTTAGTGTAAAAAGATACTTATATTGATTATTGTAGTCGTTATATGAATTCTTAGAACAAATAGTATGTTCAGCTGAAATTGATTCATATAGAGATATGTGAACAAAATAGTTAAATATACTCATGAAAACTCGAGAGGGATATATTGAATACAATAGAAGAATTCGACTAAACACTGCATTAGATTTGTGAATCATGATTTAAAGGTGATCAATAGAATGTAATTGTTATGCCCTAATATCTCGTTCCATATTTGAATTCTAAAACTATTTTTGTGTGCATTCAGCTATTTCCAAGTATTTAGATAAAAAAATCACAATAATTCACAATTCTTCGTTTGTCCTTGTCAAATAATAGTTAGAAATATTAAATTAAGCATTAAAGTATAGTCATCGCGGGAATGATAATTTGGACTCAAGGGTATAGCATATTACTTGTTATGATACCGTACACTTGTAATATATAATTATACAACACAAATCTTCTCAAGATAGATTTAATCTCCGCACTTGATAGAATTAAGTTTTCTTTATGGACATGCATTTCTCAAGATACAACACTTCTTTCGTGATTAATACAACACAAAATTAACCTTGTCGGGAAATTCAAATTTTGATTTTATTATTCTTGACCAAAATATCAAAGAACTTGAAAGCTCAAAAACATGAACTCCTGATTTGCTGACTTGCTAGAAAACACTCGAAAGTTCTCAAAGGGTGTTAGGTCCAGATTATGTTGGCTATTTTCGAGTCCAAAATCATAGTTTATTGAGTTGTAATTATGGTTAAAGAGTAGGGGTTGTTTTATTGTGTTGAAGAAGTTAAAGATAGAACAAGGAGAAAAATAGCCAAAAAAATGCTAGCTGCCCCGCATGGATAGCTCGAGTGTCCTTTTCAACAACATCATCATTCGTTATCCACACAATGGGCGCTCGAGGATGGATTGAACGCTCACTACCCACGAGTCCATTGCTGAGCGATGGTGTCATCTGATAGAAACCTTAATCATGATTTTACGACCGTTTACCATTCCATACAACCTCAAACTCTCCATATTATTAATACCCAAGCCATACTTCGTCCTTGTGGTTGGTTGATCAATTATTCATTTGAGAGAACATTATTTGAAGATCAAAAACATATTTGATAATTCTCTTTATTTAACCACAAGATCAAAATGCCAAAGATCAAACACCAAAAATCAAATCATTTACCAATAATCCTTTGGAGTTATGAAGTTAGGGAGAGGTAGCTAGAGTTCCAATTGGAGAAGAACGAAGTTCGTCTTGGTGATCCACGTGAAGGGAAAAGAAATCTAGAGTTATTGGAAAGTGTTGGAAGCTTCTTTGATGATTTACAGATTGAGTGATCAGAGTCTACTAAGGTTTAGTTGTGTATAAATCAACTGTAAGTTATCCTTTTTAGTGAATCGTTTTGGCAAGATTTGCCTGAGGATCTTTCACGCATGTAAAGAATTTTTTGAGGGATTTTCCTTCGTTACCATATTTGGTATTGATTTTACATTTATTGCTTTGATCTGCATGATTCATTGATTAATTTGAGCTTAATATTGATTAAATATAATCATCTAGAAAACAATAGTTTGTGATTTGTTGCTTTTTATTAAGTATTACTTTAATTTCTCATTATATACTTATTCACCCTCCTCCATGTGTTATTGGGTTTAATTTAAACATCCAATTATTTTTCAGATAATATTTTAGGAGAGAGAATGATTTAAATTTTATTTTTTTTAAAATTAATTTGGAATGAAGAAAATATAATAATTGGGTTCCATCAGTGTATTTCAATATGTTTATTCGGAAATGGTGCACCCTTGTGTTAAAGTAAGATCTAGTTTAACTTTGAGATCGATAAGTTTATAGTTTCCAACTAAGTGTACCTTTCCTTTAGAGTCTAATAGGTTAATTAAAACTCTGAAGTTGCCTAAATTTCATCCTTATCTACTATTTTAGCCGCCTTCCCCCCTTCATCTTCAACTTTCAGAATTTGAACTTCACTTTTGGCGCACACACCCTATAGATTGAGACGCAATTTAATATTTTAGATCGCACACTGTTCGTGATGGCTCATGACCTTTTTGTATGCACCCATTGCACTGAGATGGTCACATGTCATCGATATCAACCAATCACATTTGGTCATTAGTACTTAGTGAATCCTTACGGAACACTATTAAGTTATCCGCTCTGTCACTTGTACATCAAGTGTATTTAATCACCATGTCACTGCACTATGGGTCCATTTCTTAAAACTTTAAGGATCGTCATAATGCATAAATGCGCCTTTAAAGACCCCTTTCTCAAAGTGAACGGACCACAACCCATTTGCATGCGAAAAAACTATACTCCTGGCTCCAAGTAGTTAGTTGATGCTAGCTTTGGGACCTCGTGGTTAGCCTAAGGCATAGATAAGGGTAATGTATTGAATTACATATTAATGGCAGCCCTCTCAGTCTCCTGTCCTGCTAGGGATTTTTGGAACCCGAGACGAGTTTTTATTTGTTGGATGCGATTTAAATCCAAAAACATAATAAAATTAGAAAATATTAAAAAAAAAGAGTCCGATGGAGATGGCGAACATAATCCCGCCCCATTCGAAGTGCGGCAACATGGGTCGGAGGAAAGACATTTTTGTCCCCGTTATGTATTTGCAAATGTCAGTTATGGCTCTACCTTTTTAGCCCTATCAATAACCCAACACCACGTGGCAGAAGGGCATTAATGGGAACTGAAAATCTTGGGAAATTATAAAACACGCAGCCTGGCATGTTCAAGGACCTGTTGTCATAAACTCATAATGCATTTTATTTGTCATGCTTGGGGCCCACATATGCTTGAAATCTTTTGATAAAAATCGGATGAGAATGGGGTCAAGTAGGCTATTATTTAAAACTTTATAATCATGTTTGGAAGTGATTTTTTTTTTAAAAAAATTGATTTTTTGATCGTTATTTTACTATTTCAGTCGTCATATTTGACTTCTTTTCTCACATATGGATCCCATTTATCTCCTAACGATCAAAAAATTAATTCTGAAAATCACTTCCAAACAGGCTCATATGTACTCTGAATCATTATTCCAATTCACTCATCTATTTGGCCAACTTAATGGACCATTGTAATCTCTTCATGAAATTGTACATATTTTGTTGTCATTAATTAGATAAGGGAACCCCCTAACAAGAAACTCAAAGTTTTCTATAGAAACCATTAATTCCAATAGCGCCAGTGTGATTATTTGTGAAACGTTGAGGCAAAAGTAGGACCAACAGTTAGATTTCGTTTAGGTTATTGTTTTCAAGCTGAAATACTGAAAACGTGTTTAATCTCATATTTTTGAAAATGAATATTTTACATTTTGAATCTTTTCAATGAAAATTTTAAAAACACTCAAAACATGAAAAAACAAGTATAATGTTTTGAATGTTTTCTCATTTTCTTACATGTACCGTGTATATTTCAAGGGTTCAAAGTAAAAGAATTTCCAATGCTAATTTAAGTTATATTCTGTCCCTGTTTAATGGGGATCAAAATAAAATTTTGTTTAAGTTAAAGTCAACAATTAATTTGAATCACATATTTCATAGGATCGACAACTTTTTAAACACATGTTTTATCAACTTCTATCAAAATCTATTAAAATCTTGATTTTAATCCCCATCAAATAACGACTAAAATATAGTCACGTGTATTAAAATGAATATTGTTTACAAAAATCTTTCTCCAATATAACATTTATAGGATTAATCTAGTTGATGGGTTGAAAACAAATAGACATTATCAAGAAAATCATTTGGATATAAAGATTTTTCTAGTTAGAGTGAGTCAATCATAATTCATTTTTCTCCATTTTTAATGCTCTTTCGCTAATATCTTTTCCATCTCTTGTTTATTATCAATTTTCTCTTGTATAAAATTTAAATTTTAAAGTAAAACTCGTTGAAAATGAAATTCAAATCATTATTCTTTAGTTAAATTAGAGTTCTTTCTTATTAAATGTGACTTATATTGAAATTCATGAAAATATATTGGAGGTCTTAACATGTCTTTCTTTGAGCATATTTTTTAGAATGGCTAAATTTATAAAAAGTGCATTTTTGAAGGTCGTGGGATTAAAAGGAAAAGAAAAATATTAAATTTACGCTTATTATGTTAGATTATTATGTTAGAAGAATATATGATTCAAAATGACTTTAAAAATCAGCAAATGGCTGGCACGTGACAGAGTTAGATGCCAGTTGCATTTAATCGCGGATTGCCAACTGCATTTACTGCAGAAGGCGGCCTGAAATATGGACCATAGGCTATGACAGATTTACTTTCATATAGTAACTTTCATATAGTAAATTCTACGCGCATAAACTCAATTGGATTGGCGTGAGTAGATTAGAACCGAACTTTACTTTTCTACTTCCCAAAAATGGAGGAAATAGTCGCAAGATTGGGGAAAAATTTAGCTGAATTGCGACAAAATTTCAGGAGCGGAAGAACAAGAGGATTGGTATGGAGAAAAACACAGCTTAGAGCAATCCTTAAACTCGTAGCAGAAAATGAAGATGAAATTTTTGAAGCACTCAATCGAGATCTTGGGAAACACCCCGCTGAAGCTTATCGAGATGAGGTTAGTACTCATTTCTCTTTCTTCTTTCAGGTTGAATTGTGTGAACATGAAGAAAATCCGGGAATTTCTGTTGCAGTAGAGTTGGATTTTTTGGGAATTTCTCAGGTTTAGAAAAAGAAATTACAAAACTTGGCATACGAATTACGTACAGACGACCTGGTGTTATTCTAACTAACACGTGTTGTTAATTTAATTATGGAAAAATTGCAGCAGCGGTCCTCAATTTTTTTTTGAAGACTTTATCCTAACTTTCATTTTGTATTAGTGAAGGTCCCTGACCTTTCATAAATATGTACTTGAGGTCCATTTGAACAGAAACCGTCCAAAATACCATTAGTTGATCGAGAAAACTTCTTGAACCATTTGTTACTACGATAGTATTATTAGATGTTGATATCTTTTGGATGATTTTATTAGATATTGATTTCTTAATTTTTCTAGTCAACTAATGGTGTTTTGGACGATTTTCGCTCAAATGGGCCTCAAGTGCATATTTATGAAATGTTAGGAAACTCTATTGGCACAAAATGAAGATTATGATAAAGTCAACCAAAAATGAAAATATTATGGACCACTATCATAATTTTTCCTTTAATTATTGTACTTCAACAATTACCATGGGTGAGTTTTTGTACTTCTTTATTTTATTTCCGTGTACGTTTGTGCTTATTTACTAAAAATTTTGATAAAAAATTTTAACCACACATTTTATGAATTTAACAAATTTTCAATAACATATTTCATCATTTTTTTTTATTTTTTATTTTTTGCAAAATCCGGGCTAAAGTGACATGTCCACTGCTGCTGGCAACCGCACACACCTTCATTAATGTCCCTTATCCCCTGAATTCTTATGAAATGAATTAAAAGACTATGACCCTTTAATCAAAATGTAGTAATTCAACGGAATAATGACCCGAAGACACATAGTCCCCGTTTGGCCCCTGTTTTTATGAAAATTGGTGGAATAGTATTTTTTTTTTTTTTTGAAAAATGAATTGTTGAAAAAGAAGGAAAAATTTTCAATTTACGTATAATATTATTTCTACTTACCATTAGCCCATAATAGCATTAGTATGACAGTATATAAATGGAAACCTTACTCTCCACAACCACAAACTCACGCACGGCTCCATTGCCTCTACGGTCTAAATCGTCGTCGCCTCCTAAAATTTGTTACATTTAGTCATTCTATTACTGCTGATCATGTAAAAACAGAGTTCGATGTTTTTCTAGACGTGCCAATATTGCCAAGGATGAATAGGAATCAACTTTGAATGCTGATCTATGCTAGTAAGACTTGTAGGGAAGAATGCATCAAGTAACTTAGATGCACAACAATTAAGAATGAAGGAAAAATTTAGTATTATTATATTTATAATATTGTTTGTTAAATTTGTATTTTACAATTGAAAATTAGGATAATGTTTGCATTTACGTTTGGAATATTGTTTGATAATGTTTGCATTTTCGTTTGGAATATTGTGTTTTTGTTTTCATTTACTTTTTTCATAAATTGTTTTATCAATTTGACGGATGAACCTATAAAAAATAATTTATTTTCGTGGTTATTAACCGAATCGAACCGTGCCGAACCGAGATAAAAATCGAACCGAACCGAACCGATTTACGTGGTTATGGTATGGTAAAAAATTTGGTGGTGTGGTTATGGTTTTGGCCGAACCGACCCATAACCGAACCGTTGCCAACCCTACTTGTGGCTTGGTCCCTTCTTATTTTATTTTATTTATTTATTTATTTTATCTTTTGGTTTTGTCTCATAATAGGTCATTGCATTAAAAGTCCCTATCCTTTACCTAGTTTTACACTCATGTCCCTAACATTTTTCATTGCATTCTTATCTTCATCATTAATTAACACACTGTCCCTCCCAGTTTTCGTTCAAAAATTCTACTAACATGATTTAAAATAAGGGATAAATATATAATTGCACTTTTGAATTTATTATTATTTTTTGCTTATTTTAGAGAAAATGTGCAAGTCTGTCTTTTTACGCCTATTAACGAAACTTTGGATAAAATTGTCAAGGGATTAGATGCGCTGATTAACGAACGGTTGAAAATAAAATGCAATAACAAAAAGTAGAGGACATAAGAATAATAAAAAGTAAAGATTAAGGAATTTTATTGTAAGTAAAGTGAGGTGCATTGATAAGAAAGTAGAGTGTCAATGACTCTGTTGGAAAAATAATTAGTTGCAGCGGTGATCAGAACAATATAATGCAGAAATATAAAACTTATCGATCGAGTCTCGTGACAGCACGATGTCCTAAAGTGAAATTGCCCGTCAATAATTGCTGTGACCTCCGTGGACAATCACTCCCAGGATACAACGATCGTAAACCACTTATGCAGCAATCACGAATGGTTTTTCTAGAACTCTCAATTGTACTCCAGAATAGGTATAAAAACCCGAATATAAGAAATTCACAATATGAAAAGAGTGATTGATTCTATTTTATTTTTGTGTGTCTTTTCCCAAAGCAAGATATGGGTTTATATAGGCAAGATGGTAGTAACAGTCTTCACCATGTTAATGCAGAATTTTAATGACTGAGTAGTGGGTGTTTTAATGGCAGTTAGTGGGTTGTTACAAAAACAAACAGTCATAAAATACTGGCTAGTTTTACCCATTAAATAATGAAGAAAAAAAAATATATTTATTTTAGTCAAGGAAGCCCAAGAGCCCAAGGCCCAAATCAAGACATTTTAATATTTGCGTGGGGAGTGATTCGAACCCCTGACGTCCCACACAAATGTCACATTTCCCACCACTTTGGCACTTTATCTAATTTGATTATTTCTTTCACATTTTATATTTATACCATAAATATATAACAGACTCAACATAGCCACCCTTATGGAAACCTCCGTGTAGAAAAAAATAAATATATAGTCCCTGTTTTACCCTTATCTTAATACTAATTTGAAACTATTTTTTCCTAGTTTTCTTTTTTCTTAATCTTAATTTGCATAAAGATTGTTTTTTAGCTTAAAAAAAAAAAAAAAAACCAGTTTCATATCGTTTTGCGTAAATCGTTACAACTTATTAATAATACTCGTCAAAATTAACCTTTTGATCAAAGAAAAATATAACAAAATTAATTCAAAACTGTTGACTAGATATAGCAAAAGCGAGAAAAATAAAATCAAAGTTGAGCTTTATTCAGTGCCAACTTCCTTTTCTGTTTCTTATTTTATTATTATTATTTATTTATTTATTTATTTTTTTTTTTT